TACTTCGTTTCCTTCTCAACTTAGGCGCCGACATGGATACACCTGGAGGACATTATGGGAACACGCTACAGAAAATTCTAGCTACGGCGCCGGCTGATGAGCCAGAGCTGTGGTTCCGAACTTTCGCAAAAGCCGATTTACTTCAACTATGCGTTATGATTAAGAAGGGAAGTACTTGGCAAGATTTTGACAATATTGAATTCGAGGATAGGAATGGAGATGGATTACATGTAGCTGACTCCAAGTGGGCTTGCATGTTACCTCCTGCCGTCCTGACTCCCGTTCGATAATATGGTGTTGAGAGTTGCACCAAAAGACAAAAGGTTCCTTGGGCAGTCAATCTGTGGTATACATTTACAGGCGCTGACATACATATGTCAACTGGTGAATCTATGAGACATGGCATATATGAGAAATAATTGTGTTGGAAGGTATTGTGATATAAAATTCTATATATTAGATTATACATAGCATATGTGCTACAAGTTTACCATTAAAAACAGCGTGCTTCAAACAAGCAATACACCTCGTTAAAAGGAAAACCAGATCTTATCCAATGACCTCAAACAGGCAACTCGGCATTCCTTCTCTGTCCTGCCAAAGCAACCAAAGCCTGTTGAATATATGGACCGATGACAGGCACATTGCCCGCAAACTGACCGATCGTAACCAGGAAATCACCAAACAAAATGAGGATACCGTACAGTTCGACAAAGAAACCGACAAAAGCCCACTTGAATAGAATGAGCAATATTCCGGCGGCGAAGGCAACAGTACCCTTGAGCTTTTGAGGGCGCGAGAAGAAGGCGAGCGTCTTTTGGACGCCGATGATGAGGGTGAGGCCGATAAGGAAGAGGATCTGCAGTATGTTAATATCAACCGGAGGAAAACCAAGCGCTACTTAACGACGTACGTTGCCCATGGCGAGCCTATATTCTCAGTCAGTTAAAATATTTCCAATAGAACTGGAGTGGTTTCCACATACATTGACCGATCAAAAAACATCACCACACCACCAAACAAGAACAAACCCCCTAGCCGGAGATAGAACATTAGTTTTCCGCATTCGGGCTCGCGAGACATTCAAGTGCATAATGCATACCACCAGTACAAAAGATAGCGCCGACCTCTATTCACACAGAAACAGTCGTTAGTTTCGGTCTGATTTCATGTGCGACACACGCATCGAGAGAGCTCACTCACTTTGGGTCTCTGAAAGCCACATCGTCGGCATTTTGGCTTATTTCCTATGCGCCTAGTATACTTCCCAAAAATAATCTCGTCCGACTAAAGCGTTATCAGAGAATCGTGTCGTGGTATACTGTTGGTTCTGTGTTTTGAGGCGGTTTTGGAAATTTGTTTGCGATCGAGACGGGGTTTCGGAGATTCCGGTCGGGGGTAGGAGAAGTGAGGCAAAGGAATTCGTTGCTCGTATTATAAAAATCGTAAGGTAAAACAACAAAAGCTGAGTTAGATTAGGCGAAGAGAACAAATAGAGGAAAATAGAATAATGTTTCGACGCAGCCTGGTCAAACCTTCCCCTTTTCTGCCACGTTTTATCAAAAGCGGAATCGGGCGATTGCGGCGCGCTTGACTGTTTGCGGTTGGCGGTCAGAGTAGCCGCGTCTACACAATAATACGCAGCTGGTGTTTTCTTTCTTCTTTTCCTCTACTGTTGACTACTAACAATGCAGATTTTACGCATAAATGGATTATAACGTCCATTGGTCTCAAGATTGATGGTGCTAACATTTTCACTTCGAAGATGATCCGCACTTCTATACTACAACCTGGTCATGCAATGTTACCATTAATGTCATGGACAACACTCGACCTTAACCCCCAAATGATTTTTACTTTCAGCAAGAAAATCCCGCCACAACCACAGTATCAATTGGTGCTGTAACTGATTATCCTTTCCGTGGAGTTTCGGTAGCGGTTGCAAAGGTTCCCTTTTGAATCTGGCGAAGATCGACCCAAGGTCACAATTAAGCCGGAGCGTTTTCTTGAACCTGTCTCGAGAGGGGCAGGCGGGTGGAAAGGGCTTGACTTGGCTGGCCGGACATATCGTATTGTGGGGGAAACTGATTGATGGGCAACCTGGAGAACGTAATCTGGAAGAAGAAAGAACCAGCGTCTTTTGTGATAGCTTCAGAATAGAAATGTATGTACAAGTATTCTGAATCCACGAAGATAGATCACTTTAGAACCACGTGGGCGCCTCTTGCTTCGAGGTAATTCTCAGCAACACCCTGACCGAGCGTTCTAATGACGCCAAAGATCTCCTTGTTATGGTAGCGTAACCTTGTCTTTGGATCGGTGTACGGGGCTGGAAGACCAGTAATGTCGCAGTAGCGATGCTGGTGGGCAGGGCTCAGAGACGGTGCAGATTCAATATTCGTGTACGTAACAGTCGGGCCGCCAGTGTACATGGACGCGCGCAAGTTCTTCTCTAAAACAAGAGTCGACAGGTTTTGGGATGCCTGCGCCAGGTTGGGGGCTCGAGAAGCCGCTCCAGCCGCGGGCGTTAGCGATCCATCGGTGGTCGTGCCAACCTGCGGCGTCGTTGCTCCTGAGTTGCTTTGCGTTGCAATGGACGAGGCTTCCTTGCGCGATGACTCTGATAGAAGTTGTTTCACGTTTTTGTTGCGTCGTAGCGAGGGTTTCCATCGGGAGCTGCGAAATGGTCGCGGAATAGCAGCTATGTCTAGAGTGTCAAGGAGCTGTTGGTGCTCATCGGATGAGGGTGTTTGAGGAGCCATGTTTCTTTTTTTTTTTTCATCCAAAGATGATAACGCTGAATTGTGTAGGTGTCGAGAATGGCCGAAGGAGCAATTTGGTGGATTTGTTCAACTTGGAACAGTTAGACGTGGAACAGGATACAGTGATGGCGCATCACGCACAGACCACGGCCGTGGAATTTGTGTTATTCCGATTAACTATGAGCAGCAGCCTTATTTTCTACTTTTACAACCTGAACTAAAATAATCTATTGATTTGTATTAATTTTATTTGCATAGACGTAGAATACTAATGAAAAAATGAAATGGTTGTTTTTGTAGTGTAAAATACATATAATGTAGTGGAATATGTGCAAATCTAGTCGAGGGGAATGACTACGAGTAGTACTCAGCGTTCGGCTAAACCACCGTGTGAAAACGACTGAAGAAACTGAGGAACTTCCTTGCGCAAAGAAAACAATATGAAATCCCAAGCCAATTCATTCCTCTAACCGTGTTAGAGGTGTCTGCGTAGGCTAGAAACGTGACTGCAAAACTATCAAGTCCCCTTGGGCCGCCCACATTTTTGATAGAAAAATTTACAGCTATATAGAATATTGGTAGAAAAAGTAAGCTCCTAGACCAACAGAGATTGTTCACGGGCAATTTAGGATTTGTTGCCTTTTATAAAGTACTACCAACCTAAGAAGAAAAAAAAAGCTGGGAAAAAAAGAACTCCCTGTCGGGGAATCGAACCCCGGTCTATTTAATCATTAGTTTAATGCCTTAATAAGGTGACGAAGGCAAGTATCTTACCTCCCGCGCTTGTTCTACCATGGGCGGATGACAAGCGGAAATCATGACCACTAGACCAACAAGGATTATTGGACGACTCTTCGCATATTGAAATCATAAGCTGAATTTGATAGGCGGTGATGGTCTTCCTCTCGAGCCGAGCCGTGTACCCCCAAACCATATACCATACTATACTACTCCGTACATAATCGCGGAACACCGTGTAGCTATTATTAGTACGAGTTACTTTTCCCAAAAAAAAAGAGGTTAATAAATATATACAATAAAGCTTATTAGTCGCTCAAACGAGCGAATTTCCTCTTTTAGAATTAACTCCATTGCAGTGTAAGATGCCAATAATATTGTCACAATCTCGCCTCACTGTGGGAGGGGATGGACAATGTACTCAGGGGCTTACATAGCAAGACTTATAAGCTTTCAAACCCCTGCAGTGAGGCCAATTTGATCAATTTGACCGGGATGCCTGAGTATGTTGTTAAATTGGCCAAATTGGCCTCGCTATGGAAGCGTTCTGCGCCTTACTGGCGCCGTAAGCCCCACCTGAACTAGTATATGTTACCTCCATCAGTTAGTTAACGGTCATGCGTATGAATATGATTTAGATATCTCCACTCCTTTCTAGAGCGGAATCCTACGCGGTTCTTATCTGCTGGCCTGAGGCATCAACCGGAGGCGAGAGCAGTGCCAGATTTGGGAATAACCTCAAGCGGTGATGGAAGAGGATTAGTTTCTATATAAATTATAATTTTACTTGTGCAAAGTAGTTTGCAACTAGAAGCGGTTTATGACCCTCGATCGTTCTATTGTTGTTTGTAATTTGTAACTCTCGGTATTTCATACGTTGCAGGATGACATTATACTAGTAAGTTATAAGCGTGGTAATATTTGCAATGGCCATATATATATAACTTTCCCTCAAGAGTTGAAAGCCGCGAAAACGTTGCAGCAATGTCACCCAACAGTATCCAGCTCCCATATGTCCCCGGAACTGATTTTCATAGATCGACCAGCTTCGAGACGTCGTGCATGTTTGCGGTGGAGTACATGTATAGCCATCCTATTATATAAATATGAGGAGTTGTTGAACTGTTTGACAAAATCAGTGTCAAGGAACACTCTGACTTATCAGTAAGTGCCAGCACCTTGTAATCTGATATAATTCAAAGACCCACTAACAGACCATAAGCACTGTTAAGGTTTATCGGTGTTAGTGGCAAGAGAGGATAAACAGAGACCCTCGTAGCGCCCACTGATGACCTTTAGCTTATAGCTGGTAGGGTCATTAAACCTGATTAAATAATAATGTGAGCGATGGGTGCTACCAGTCGGGCATACTGCCATTTGTTAGATATAGTCTAGAAAGTCAAAGTATCGTTTAAGTTAAAAAAAATTCTCGGTATTTATTCTAATAAAAGAGTGTATTAAAAGAGGGTGCGGGGGGATTGCGAGCGAGCAAAAAAGTAACTCCCTGTCGGGGAATCGAACCCCGGTCTACAAACATCAGTTTTATGAACTTTGCAATTTCATGAGAACAAATGGCTTACCTCCCGCGCTTGTTCTGCCTTAGGCGGATGACAAGCGGAAATCATGACCACTAGACCAACAAGGATTGTTATTTAGTCGGTGTGAAATTACTATTAATATTATATTCTATATACCCGTCACACGATCGGCTGTTCGGCTGTTCTTATTAACAAAGGAAACCGTGCCACGAACAATACCGGGTAATCGCGGAACCCTGTGTAGCGATTATTAGTACGAATTACTTTTCAAAAAAAAAAAAAAAAAGGAAGCTTATTGACGGCTCATTCAAGTGAATTTCCTCTTCTGGAATTAACTCACTTGCAGTATGAGGTGCCAATAATATTATCACAACCTGGCCTCACTGTGAGGAGGGTTGACAACGTACTTAGGGTCTTACGTAGCGAGGATTTTAAGATTTTAAAACCCCTGCAGTGAGGCCAATTTGACCAATTTGACCAGGCTTCCTGAGTATGCTGTTAAATTGGTCAAATTGGCCTCGAGCGTTCTGCATCCTATTGGCGTTCATGCGCCATAAAGGTTAGAATTATTCTTATGTAGTTAAATCGTCTTGTAAAGAGCGGCAGACCTGGTTTTTCGAGGGATGCGAAATGGAAGAAATCGAAAGGATAGACTTTAGTGCTTTCACACCAGGGATATAACCTACCATGAAATTTGATTCAACTGGATATAAAGAGTGAGTGAAGATATCTCTCTCTATATGCCTTGATCAGTGCTAAAAGGCTACTGAGTAACTGCGTATAGACTCACAAATATCTGCAGGGCCTGGAAAAGACAAAGATTTCAGGATATATTTATACGTTCTCTCTACAGCACAGACGTCCTTAGACGAGATGATCAACAGCGAAGTCACTGACATGCGCGAAGGCATGGACTTGACTGAGGATCAAGATAGGCCTAAAACAGAACAGACCTTCTAGCTATATGTGGGTCAATCTTTCGAGCTCCAAGATCGAAACTAGGGACCACAATGATTTTCGTTACCGCCGAAAACAGCAATCTCTTCATTATAACATTTGGGATTCTTTGGAGAATGTCGAATCAATTCTTGTTACTGTTGTTAAAGGAGTGGAAAACAATTCATGGCATTTCTCTTAAATATTCTAGAAATGTTTACGTATTGCACCTTTCAGACGCTGCGGCTGCACTATCTTGAAATTTATCTCCCGGAGAATATCCCAAAACCTTGAGCCAGAAGGCATTTAAATGTGGCCTTACCTTATTGGCAAGGACTCAGTGATGACGTATCGCCGGAAGTACGCGTTACAGGGTAGTCTTTTCAAGGATCGTTGTTTAGCTCGGATCCGCTTGGTAGACAGCGGGTTGAAGACCTACATGACAGTTTTCGCGGCGGCTACATCGACTGACCCAAGACAGCGGTCTCATTGGTAGAAACTGATTATCCATGATTTCGTGGACATGGGCCAGTCAGCTGTCCTGAAGCAAGTAGAGGACAGATATAAGGATTTTCTACGCGACGGGAAAGAGCGTAAGGTTCAAATCGGCGAAAAATGGCAACGTCCTAAATTGGAAGTTGGGACGTTTCCATTATATATGAAGGCGTTTAGATCGCTAAGTTTTGTTCTAACACATGGTCAAATAGCCTTTTTCAAGCCCTAGTTGATGGACGGGCCGAGCCCTTCGAAAGCCTTGTCCACTGATCTTTCTAGAAGGCTTTTATTTTTTGTTAGGGCCACTGCAGTTGATGGGAAAGAACAGTTCCTGTTTTTGACTACTGACAGTAATAAAGCGGTTATATACATGAACACTCTAGTTGATATCATGGAAAGACTGCCTCGAGAGGTGTTAGTTACATTACCTCGCCGGGGTTACTGGAATAATATTGAGGGTAGGCATGCACAATATCGCGAGAATTAAAGAGACAAGGAATTACCTCGTCTGCAATCTTCGGCTTATAAGCAGTATGCATAGTACGAGTAGTTCAAAAAAAAAAGGGACGAATCAAGAAATTAAAATAAGGAAAACAAAAGTGTACATAATTTTGACAGGCTAGAAGACTTGTGAAATACTCGAGCACCTTCGAAGATGACTTGTACTTCTAGTCATGCTATCTAGGTATGAATATTTGAGAGCGGCGTTTTAAATGAACATTCCTGCTAGGAATCTGCCTTTATAAATATAAAGTCAAATTAATATGTATTTTTTGCTTCGAGCTACATGTGTAGTTTAGAAATCACGGAGGACAGCCACAAGATCATCCAAGAGACCTAAAATTGCAAGGAGGGAGGCCTCTTTTGTTTTCCAAATTTCCAGACCCTTGAGCTCGAATTCCGTTAGGTATTCTGACTCTTTGCCCTCCACATCACTTCGGCTGGCTTTGTCTAGTAAGGCTTGATATCCACGTCACTCGAAGCCTAGAAGTTGTAGAGTGCGTGACATGCATTTGTACGTATCCTCTAATACCTCCTGACTTACCCTACCAGCGTCGAAATACCAAAGAAAAATTGGGTTACCAGGCTTAGGCAGTGGTATCTCTTGTACACTTACAAAGCCTTTCACAAACATCTGGTTAAGTAGTTTGCTGAGATATTCCGGCGGAATTGGGCTGATTTCCTGTAGATATTTCATCTCAATCTTTCCTTTAGTGAGTAAAATACGAACCACTCGGAGTGCTAGGTCATTATATCGTGAGTGGATGATACGTTCCAACTATGTTTCTACCAATTTTCTGGTAATATTAGCAAATTTTATTTGCCACCGGATAATACCACCTTCAATTACTCGAGAGACAAATTCAGAAGGAGGTTGTGAAAGGAGACTGAGATGTGCGTCGACCGTTTGGGCGCCTTTGTGGGTATAGTTTAAGTTATCATTGCTGGTAATTTTCTTGACGGGCCGATGGATCTTTTCGGATATAGTGAAAGATCAATATCGTTAAGTATCTCCTGACATCCGATAGCAATGGAAACCTGCCCCTCTTGAGAATTTCCCAGTTCATTCTTGAGATCTTCTCGGCAGCTGTCGGTTCTATATTCAATATGATGTAGAAGGCACCTGTATACCTCTGCTGTTGCACTTGAAAAGTTTTGTTGAACAAGATCGAGATAGCGCTCATTCCTAAGAACCACATCTAATTTCTTGTAGTTTGCAGTGACAATCAAGTTGGGCTACAAAATGGTAAGTTAGTTTCATGTAATGCGTGATTAGTACTTTGTTTTTACCTTCAGAAAATTGGATATCTTCCTCTAGGGCCTTATCGAGATTGTCACTCTGAACGAAATTGTTGGGCATCCCTTGATCAGGGAAACTTGGAATATTGTCGTCATCCTGTGGAGCTTTCATCCAACTTTCGGCTGGGTTCTGAAAGCCTATCTCCGGAGCTCGCATAATATACCCGCCAGAAGCTAATTCTTATAGAATTGAATAGAGCTTTGAATATTGTTTCTCTAGCGAGTTTGTCGTAGCCAGCTTATCGTCGTGGCTCTGTCGCGAAGAAAGGCATTCGAGTTCTTTAACCGAGATGTGTCCATGCAACAAAATGTTTGTCATAAGCCTGGTAGCGAATTCCCCGGGTCGGTCTCTCACTATTCGAAGGAATTTTCCTGATCGTACGAGATAGTACGCTCTGTGAGTGTTTGCTTGGTACCAGGTATCATTGCCTTCCGTGAAGTGGTAGACGAGTTGTTGCTGGATCATACCCACAAGTCCATGGCGTAGCTGTTTATTAGTTAAACAAGAACGGGATTGAACTCTTCTAATGTCAACCATCCGTGGCGATGCAAGACTGAGAAGATATGCTAGAGAATAATATTCTGTTGCCTGTGGTCATTCTAGAAACCGTGATTCAAGACTGCTTACTGCAAAAAGCTCGCCGAAGGAATCTTCGATGAGAAGCGTGCATAGTTCCCCTACTTGCTGTATGATGATGATGTGTTAGAAGACTACCGATTACCGCTAACCAGGATTGTCTGATACCTGGCACTTCATCATGAGCTTTTTGGAAATTCAAGAGGATTGTCAGATACGTCGATCCAGGGGTTATAAAGCTCTGGAATATTGGTAAGTTGATGTTGACTGGATTAATTAAGAAACAGGAAGCTACCTTGATATGCGAAGTCGTTTTATGTGACTAGATTCTAACCAATTTCTTTGTCAACAGCGAGCGGTGAGAGGGGCGGTGATTCTTTAGACGGGAATACATATTGTAAATTGATTCAAAAAAGCGTTGAATGGGGATGTTCGTTAGTCTACAACGTTGGTTAAACCAGTCAAAAGGATCAAGCTGCATTGAATGGATCTTGCTGACTTTATTATGACCGACTGATTACACAGATTGATGATCGAGATTAGCCTGCTACCTGCTAATAGTATATTTCTCCCCTTTGTTCATGGAATAAAACCACAGTCATAGATTAGATGATGGTCGAAGCTTAAAATATATTATTATAAAGGTCTGGAGAAACATGATCTGAAAGAGAAATTATGAAAGGGCAGTAGTACCCCGAGGAATCGAACCGGAAAAGCCTTACGGAGAGATTGCTGAAGAGCAGGGCAATGGTGTTCTTGCTCACCATCAGCTCGAGAATGGATTTGGATTCATGGGTGTGTCCACTGTCAAAGCATATTCCCAAAACTAGGTACCTGGCCAACAATCCACCGCAAGAGTGTCTGCTCAGTGACCTAGAGGTGATCCATCACGCGATAATGGACAGATTTTGACCGTGGAGCGCTTCGTACTTGGTAAGTTCCTATTTAACAATGTTATTATTGTTGAGCTCGTTGTCGATTGTGGATGCTCCGGATTAGGCAATTAGTGGAGTCTCGGCAGTGTTCCCGTGCCATATTTCTTTTTTATGTATTATTTATTTATTTGCAATAAGGTAAAACTCCCATTCACAATAAATGATAATAATCTGCAGTGGGCTGTGGGCAGTAAACAAAATGCGATTTCTACTACATATTCCGTTCTTGTCTTTTCTCCGAGGTATGTTAATGTTTGGTTCTGGATAGACGTCTGATGTATCCCGTGCATATATAGCCTCGGAAAAGGTGCATTTATTTTGCAAGAAATTCTTCTGAGAACGAATCCAGCCAGCTGACATCCAA